TTATTGAGATACTTTCGCTTAAGGTTTATAAAGATTTAAATGAATAAGCTAAACCTTTTATCTAGTTATAAAATAATAATGAATTTGAAAAATTAGAATTTTATTTTAGGTAGCAATTCGTAAAATCAATAGTAAATTTAAAGATGTTTTACAGATTTTTGCGTTATGTCCGGTCACAGCAATTTGAAAAGTATAATAATTCGTATATTGTTTTGTAATTTATTGTAATTTGTATTCTTATAATTTCAAAAAGTAGTTAAGAAAAAAATAAATATAAAATAAATAAAATTGAAAATAAAAAAATAATTTAAAAATAAAATAAGGAAAAGAATGGGAAAAACAGAATTCCTATACTATTCAATGTAATTTCAGGGGTGCATTTATCTGATTTTTTTTATGGCAATCTGGCATTATTCAATTTTAATTTATTTTGATCCGAAAACAAGTCTAAGGTTCCCATCGCTATTTACCTATACCAATAATCGGTTCCTGAGTGTTACTAGATGCAGAATCAGAAAAGCAGAAATAAAAGAAAATTTTGAAAATTTTATTTATAGGCAAGAAATTTAGTTTATTTGCAAAAAAAATTGTAAATTTAGGAAGTTTTGAAGATTTTAGTGTGAAAAGCGCGATAATTTAGAAAAAAACTTTTCATTTTTAGAATTTTATATTTACATTAAAATTTACATTCTCAGATTCCCAGATTTCCGCGTGTGTGTGACACACGAAATTTGATGATCACAGTAATTTGAAAAGCGCGATAATAAATACGAAATGTGTATTACTCACATATTTCTAAAAGAGTTCCACCAATGCCCCTTATTCTGAAGATTTTCTAAGTCACGTTCAAGTATATGTGTTATATTAACTTTAATAAATAAGTTTATATTAAACAAACTTTAAATTAAATTGGTTCGATACTATCTGCTCTTTTGAACGTTAAAAGAATCCGTGAATTTATTCAAAACAAAATGGAAGCAAAGCATAAAACAAAATGAAATTGAACATACGAACCTGATGATTTAGTAAAAATCCACACTCCCACCATTGATAAATTAAAGAATATCTACTATGCAAGGTCCTTCAAAGGATATCTAATTGGCTAAAAATTACGTTCCGGAAAATTTTTTGTGGGTGAGCTACCAACAATAGGTGGCAGCGAGACAATGTTGCATGGCTTATTAAATTCATACTGTATGTACAGATACGTTTAGACATATGTATCCAGATTGTTAATGAATTTGTTCAAGATCGCTGAAGGTTTTATATGAATTCGACCTGGAATCTTAAAGAATGTCACCAGAAGAAAACCAAAACTGCTAGCATTCAATTAATCACTTTACCGGGCTTAGTCCTTAAAAATTTAATTAGTAATTATATAAAATATAAAATATATAATTAAACATGTATACTATATGCTGATTATATTTTTCAGGAGATAAGTCCGATGAGAATGTAAATTAAAACTATCTGTACGGTTTTTTCTGGTAGCATCCATATACGAGATGAGGAAAGTTTATTTAAAATCATTATTTATTGAAATCAAACTACTAATATAGATAACAATTCATGAACTTCAAATCTATTAAACTTCAAACCAAAATTAGGAAATATAAATTTTTAACTTCACCACTACTATAAGATATGTTTCATTAGCAATAAATATAAAATCAGACAACTAAGCTTTAAAGTTTTGCATTTATACTCGTACTAGTCATTGTTATATTTATAAACTTAACTATAAAGTTGATATAAATATTTAGATCAATAAAATTTTTTCATAAATATTCATAAATTTAAATAATTTATTTTGCATAAGACAGTAATAATTATAACATAGTGGTTTGATTTATATAAATTATCAGATTATTTATATATAATTTATTAATTATTCTAATTTAAATAATAAAAGGCTCGCCATAACTGGCCTACTATGTTAGCAGGCTACTAAAAATATGGCAAGGCGGGCAAGAGCTTAAATGATCTTGCCAACCACCCTATATTTTAGGGTAGAGCACACTAAAAGAAAAAAAATCACATTGTATCAAGTAAACAAGTAAATTTATGTGAAAAGAATATCTATAAAAACTATCTCTTTCACCTTTTGCAATCTGACCAAAATAAAGAGAAAAACCTTTTTAACAGTTATTATTACGAAATGATTTTAATATTGTTGGCGTTGTTTCATATTCCTTGTGGATTTCAACGTGTACACTTCATAAATCAAAATTTTAATTATGAAACCGCTCTTTGGGTTCTAAAAAAATAACTCTTGAAAAATTTTAATATTAATTACACTCTAATCCTAACATTAATCTATCTTAACAACGTATAATCTAATTTAATTTATCTCTAAATTTTGCATTATATTGATCTACAAATTACACCCGTGTTTCATATACTGATGTAAATTAAGAAATTTACATTGTAAAATTTGAAAAAATTTGGCGATACTGACTTTGACTCTGCCAATTAATGTTCTCAGGTTAGAGTATAACATTATATGTTATGTAAATTTATATGTCTAACGAAAATTGTTAGATAGTTAGAATATGGGTTAGGCGCGTTATAAATCAGAGATCCAAAAAAATTTTTGGGGATTTAGCGTTAATCGATTAGTATGTAGTAGTAGTATTTTAATAACTAAAGTTTAAATTTGGAGCCCAAATACTCAGAATTTGTGACCAAATTTGTGATCAAATATTACCTTGATTTGACAATACGACGTAATTCTAAAATAACCTCCAAGTAATTTTAAAATAAACTTTTACATGTAACGTTGGTTTTAAAATTTATAAATTTTATTTTTCGTAAAATTTCACAAATAAAGTGCAAAATTTGTAAATGACATTCTAAGCGAAAAACTGGTTTGATCTTTTCAATGTTACTATATATTCATGATAATTTGCAAGAAAATTTTCCAATAAGATAATTTAAAGGGCAATATTTAAATTAAAAATTTTAAATGAATTATTTTAAAAGAAAAAAATTAATAATCTAACTTTAACAGTTGACTTTTCCTAGTAATACAATCAACAATGATGCGAAAACATACAAAATTTAACGTATACCTAGAGAAGTAACGATACTTAAATTTGCCTCTGCACGAATTCTTTCTAATTTTGTAACAAAAGCAAAATTCCCTACACCTCCTGTGATTATACCTTTTAGATTCGCTCTAGAAGTCCGTAAATCACCGTCATTTACGTTCATAAGATAAGTAAATACTGGCCCTCCTCTCTATCGTCGTTTTCTGCCTGTATAACGTACATGGCACTATAAGGATCAATGGCGCCAAAATAAATCGCATCAGGCGCTTTTATATAACCGCAGGTAACATGTGTACCGTAGCCAGATTTACATAAATGAGAGCCAACACTTAATATACGCGGGAAATAAACAATAGGGAGCTGAGCATTATAAATAGATTCAGTATGTCTTATAGACGGCATTGGAATGTAAATGGGATTATCTATACTGAGGATGCCAAAATCGAGTTCTCTTGTAAGTCGTCCCATTCTTGTCATTCTTCCGATAACATCGTGCTCAACATGTGAAGTCCACGGTAGAAGATGATAATTTTGATTAGGCCGAAAACAAAGTCCTGAGGTTACAAAGACATCTTCATTTGTTGGCCTCGTTCTTGCTAAAAAGCCTAGTGAACATGTAAAGTGTCTATTTAAATTATTTAAATTCAATAAGCCATCACCAGCTACGAGAAGAGAATGTATCAAAGGAGGTTGACGTTTTATAATATGTGAATTGGAACGTTCATTATGCAAATTTTGATGGTGATTATGTAAATTCTGACGATCAAAAATTGGGTTAAATCGTCTGACATCCACTATATACTCAGCATTATGTCCATTGAGTTCATCATATAAAGTTATAACGACATTATTCCGTTCTATATCAATGTAAACACCAACAAACACTGGATTATGCTCTTTGCTAACACGAAGTATATTTGTAAACTTGTGTTTTAGTTCATTCAAGGATAAGTGAACTCCTACAACGTCTATTAAATGTGCAATAGGCGCTACTCGAGGAAGTGCAAGTAATTCATCTCTCACACCTTCATCTATAGTGTAAATGGTTATTCAATTCGTAACTACATTTATACGAGATCCCGCATAAAGACCAGATCCGTTAGCAAAACCACCTATTATGGGTCTGATGATTTCATTCGCTCGCTCTAATATTATCTGAGTACGCAAATACGTCGCTATTTCATTATCTTGTACGTTCCATAATTTCGCTAACGGCTCAGTTTGTATTGCATGAGCCGTCGGATATTTCTGTAATGTAAAAATTAAGAATAATAAAATTATTAAGAAATAATTGTTTTTCATAATTACACTATTTTATAACTTGAAATTTTTAAAAGTTTTAAACTTTAAATGTATTTATCGTTATTTAATATCCTTTGTTTTCCCATTAACATTTGTGTAATCTTAAATGAATTAAATGAATTCCACTAAGGAAAAAATGTACTTGGATTTTTTTAGGATTAAGTCCGATGAGTTATTTTCGAGTTCTCATTTTATCTTGACTCCACTCCATCAGAAAGAAAAAAAAA